GCATTCCTTAGCTCAAGTAGGTATTCACACCTCCATCTCAGTCAGAATTTATCAAGTATATTAGTGAGGGGTTTGTCAACTGAGTGGCTCCATTTATTAATCCCGTACATACAAATCTTCTTCCTTTTTAGGTTTATCTGGCAGTGTCAGAAGTCTCCGACCACAAAGTAAGTGGGAGGGGGTCAGGGGTTCCACCAAGTTACCAGAAGGAATGTAGATCAGGGGGCAAGAGTTTAACATTGCTTCCACTTCAATTACAGCTGTCATCAGCTCATCATAGGTAAACTTAGAAGTTCCAATAATCTTCCGTAATAACCTCTTCATGCTCTGAATCATTCTCTTGAACACCCCACCCCATTAGGGTGCCTTTTCAACATTAAATTGCCATCTATTACCGATCCCAATCATAAACTCCTTTGCTCTGGGGTGCTCCAATATTGCAGAAAACAATTTGTTGGCAGGCTTGAATGTTTTGGCGTTGTCAGAGAGTATCCTGTAGGGGAATCCCCTTCTTGCAGTGAACCTCTTGAAGCAGCATAAGAACGTGACTGTCTCTATTTCTGTCACAAGTTCAATGTGTACTGCTATGGTAAGACAGCATGTGAACAAGCATGACCATACCTTTCTGCTCTCTGAAGACAGAGTCTCTCGAGTGTACATAGGTCCTGCAAAGTCAATACCAGTATACCAGAAAGGGGGCTTCTCTTCTACTCTAAGTGGGGGTAATGGAGGAGGTGGTGGAATAGGGTAAGACCTGCCATGGTTCACTAACACAGAAAACAGTTATGTATGACTTGTCTAACTAGCTGACATCCTTGTACAATTCAGTACCTTGATGTTACTTCAGTGAGTGTACTGTTTACCCCTCTGTGTCCGACTCTTACATGGCAATCTTTAACGATGAGCAGAGCGATAGTACTTCGTCTCTCTAAAAGGACAGGGTATTATATTTCAGCAGGGAGGTTGGCATTAGTCAGCCTTCCTCGACATGTCAGTGTTCCCCTCTCTGTCCACAAACACATCAAACTGTTCCTTCCACGAATTGAATCTCTTGTTCATTATTGTTGACGACTGATCTATACACATTAGTGCAGTGTGAGCTAATTCCATGTCTCTTGATAACACCGTCTCGTCTTGAGGACCCTTTCGCAATGTGTATGAATTTCATATCTTGAGCTATAACTCTTCGTAAGCGGTTGAAGGTACCAAATCTCTCTACATCAATGACTAACTGGCATTCTCCTGCCGAGCAAAACAAGACAACTTCTCTCTTGTTGTGT